GTAATACGCCCGCCACCAACGGAACTCCGCTGATACAGCCCCAGTCAGGCCGGCCAGCAACACGAGACGTCCGGAGACGGACAGAGACAGGGCGGCGTTGACCAGAACCACGCTAAACCGCCGCCCGTCGCGCCCGGGCAAACGCCCTTCAGTCAGGGACCCGCCGCCTCTTGAGCTTATGATGCACCTGGCAAAAATAACCCGCAGATCACAAGACAACAGCATCTGCCAAACATCATGTGGCATGATAAAAGAGGAAAACAAAGAGTCGGTGACACCACAGACACTGAGTGTGATCCAGGTTGTGCCCGGCTGCTCCCTGGACTCCGGCCAAGCGTCTGCGCCGCATGACAGTCTCGCCAGAAGCCGGTCGAGCAGACGGCTGACGACATAACGACCGCCCAATGCTATGGCAACACACTGGTCCACGACTGAGACATCACCCACGGCGCACAGCGTGCTACACCATCTGCCAGCCGGCTTCCCGTGTTAATCGCCCAAGGGCGGCTCTAAACCGTTTTTACGACGCCGGGACAGAAGCGCCCCGCTGCCAGAACAGCTCCACCTGGCAAACACCGCAAAGTCGGATGATCCCCGAGTCAGAAAAGTCGTGTCGTGTGTCCCGCACGGCTCCAAGTGACTCCTCCCAGCTGGCGGCGATCGCGCCTGGTCCCGTCACAGGCCGCCAGCAGGTGAGCCATCCCACAGGCGGCCGAGAGCCGCTCCAACTACGTCCGACTTCAAAGGTCAACCATAACTGAGCCTCCCGCGAGACTTCAACGACGTCAGCAGCGAAAATCGGACGGGAGATGAAGACTCTACGCAAGCCGTAACGGCCTTTTTGCCATGGCCGTGCTGGACGCCAACACTGTGTCTGACCTAAGCTTCGCCTACAGCCGGTACAGATAAGGCACCGAGCCCTGTCTCGATCAGCTCGACCCGCAGACGAGCGGCCAATGGGAGGCAGTCTTGCTGTGACGTCAGACCAAGCATCATCGTGGCAGCCGTCCAGGACAAGGCAAACGTTTTCATTGCCACTATTGACAAATTTTTGCTGCTCAATCTTCAGCAAGCTTTTCCAAAACCGCGGCAGGCTCTACTGCACTAACTCCTTCGATGCAATGCAATTACGCCAACATCTCGAATATTATCCGCAAAAAGGACAGGTTCAGGGGTTTGATGTCAGCATTACGCCAGATATGCATGTCGCTGTCGCGCAACCTTCGTCGCGTCCCTAGGGATGTTACTCCTGTGCTTCTCCCCATCCCTGGAGCATGCTATACCACCCGGTTCAAACAAAATGTCAGCGAACTATGCGTTATCATCGTTCAGAATTTACGGAAATGTAGCTTGCATACGCTCCAAAGGACAGGAACACAAGTCAAATGCAATCTATATGTGATTGGTTTCGCATATTGCTAGAAAGAAACTCCAAACCAACAGCGCTCCGTTCTGCGGACGAAAATGCTGGCGGGAGGTTATACCGAGGGGTCGCGAATATATCTGACCACAGACATTATCCACCAGTCTACGATTGCCCGACAGACATCCATGCCCACTCACAACACACGCTCTAGCCTTCGAAAGGATGTAACAGTGAAATAAAAACGATCACATAACGTACCAGTTAAGCTAGAATTATGTCGTCTTAGTTCCAAACATCACACATTCCTCTCTTTAAATCCAGGCGCGTGTTGAGATGAGACCAATACGTTCGAACATGGCTATGCCGGGGGCCGCTGGGAGCAGGAACAGCACAAATCCCTCGCAGCCAGACAGCGTCCGCACCTCGCACTCCGCGTGATGGATGACGAGTCTGCAGCGTGCTAAGTGACAGGGGCGGGCCGCGCCGAGTGACAAGACGGCGCCGCGCCGAGTGACGGCCTCGGAGCGCCGGCCGAGCCCGTGCCAGCCGGCCTCGTCACGCATGCCGTGCTGCCATGGTGCCATCATGCGCGTGTGCTCCCCGGCGGCCGGCGACACCCGACCGCGGCGGCGCCCGCGGAGGTGGCGAGCACGCCCGCGGGCGGCGCGCTCCCCGCCGGGTGGCAGGGCGCCGCCACACTGCGGCGCTCTACATGCTCTCGAACGGTACACGCACGCTGGCTACCCGTGCAGGTGCAACACGAGGTCCACCATCAAAACACACGGGTGGACACGCTCCGACGGGTGCTGAACGAGACACGGCAACGGACACTCACAACGTGCACGGGCGACACAACCCAGTCACCCACATTCCGACAGGCACCCACGCAGGCAGACACGCACGCACACAGAGACAGGCACACGCACACAGACGAACGGACTCCTACTTTGGCTTGCAGGTCTATGAAGTCGACATTGAGCACGATGCCAGCCGGCTTGGGGCCGTCGCCGGCGCCGGCGGGCCGCATGGCCTCCTCGCTCCGCCGGTCCGGGCCCTGCACACGCCGCGACGAACAGGGGCACACACGGCCTCCGGTTAGAGCAGCGCCGGCGCGCGGCACCTCCGGCGCCCGGCGGCGGCGCTGGCAGCCGGCACACGCACTAGGCGAGCGGCGCGCGCGCGCGAGCGAGCCGGTCGGGCGCGCGCGGCGACAGCAGGACAGCGGCCGTCAATCGTCGGCGGCCGTCGGCGTCGGCGCGTCCACGCAGCGCCGCGCCCGCCGCCAGGAATAGTCGGCGCCGGCGGCGGCGGCGCGACCGACGCGGCGACGACACATCGCGGCCGGCGGCGTCATAAACAAGCGGCCGCCGCCAAACGCGCCGGCGGCCGCGCGCTGGCCAGGGGCGCCGCCGCCGGCCACCGGCCACGGTCAGGCCGGAGGCCGGGCGCTGGCTAGGGGCGCCGCCGCCGGCCACCGGCCACGGTCAGGCCGGAGGCCGGGCGCTGGCTAGGGGCGCCGCCGCCGGCCACCGGCCACGGTCAGGCCGGCGGCCGGGCGCTGGCCAGGGGCGCCGCCGCCGGCCACCGGCCACGGTCACGCGGGAGGCCGGGCGCTGGCCAGGGGCGCCGCCGCCGGCCACCGGCCACGGTCACGCTGGGAGGCCGGGCGCGGGGCCGGCTGATACCAGCCAAGACCGGCCGCCGTGGCCGGTGGCCGGGCCACGGGCCCAGCCATAGGCCTAGCGTCGTGGTCAGTCCCTCACTCCAGCTGCCGCGCAATGGAAACAGCTTGCTAAGTGCCGGTACTTGGGAGGGTGGACATTCCGCGTGGCATCCAAACCACCTCAAGATGCTCCGCCAGACCGACGGGGAGAAAGGTGCTTAAGATGACCACAAACCGGTCGGACGTGGCAGAACACTGCACTTGAAGCCTTACTCGACAGCAGAGATACGGACAGCACTCCGTCACCCCAACTGTGTGCACATTGGACTTGGCGGCACAGGAGGGCTGAAGACACACGCCCACTCCACGGCAGATCAGGCCTGCTCTGTGGCGCGGTGGTGAAGGTGCAGCCGGCCGGCTCGGTCGGCTCGGTTCACTGTGTTCCGATCTACCCCATACCGTGTCGAACCTGCCCTGTCATGCCCTAGCCTAGCCTAGCCTAGCCTAGCCTAGCCTAGCCTGCTTTTTCCTGCCCGCCCTAGCCTAGCCTAGCCTAGCCTGCTTTGTCCTGCCTGCCCTAGCCTAGCCTAGCATAGCCTGCCCTGCTCTCCCCTGCCCTGCCCTGCCCTGCCCTGCCCTGCCCTGCCCTGCCTTGCCTTGCCTGCCTTGCCCTGCCTTGCCTTGCCCTGCCCTGCCCTGCCCTGCCCTGCCCTGCCCTGCCCTGCCCTGCCCTGCCCTGCCCTGCCCTGCCCTGCCCTGCCCTGCCCTGCCCTGCCCTGCCCTGCCCTGCCCGCACCTGATCTCACCTGACCAGGCCCACCCCACGACCCCACGCAAGTGTCCGGTGTCGGCAAGCCGAGCACGGCCGCCCCAGGTTACCACTGTCCAAAACGAGACGGGTAAAAACGCTTCTAGACCTCGGAACGCACATCCCCATCAGTGGCCACGTCGATTCGGGCCGACGACAGTCTGTCCCTCCCCGCGCGGCCCCTCTCCGGCTGCCGTCCCGTGCCCAGTCGACCCCTCAGCACATGGCGCGCTCCATCCACTGTCCAGTGGCCTCCCAGCTGTGCCGGTCGGCCGGCGCTCTCCACCCAGTCGCGAGTTTGGCCGGGCCCCGCGACACACGGCCTCGTCGTTTGGACGCGCTGGCCGCCGCCGCCGCCAGCTGGTGACGTCATACGCCGCCGCCGCCAGCCGACCCGGGCGGCGAGCCGGGCGCCCCCGCGTCGGCGCCCGGCGGCGCCGCCGGCCCGCCTCCCGGAGCCGCAGCGCCGCCGGTCATACCCCGGCCTGGCGCCGCCCCTGCCGGCGGCCGGCTCAGGCGAGCGGCGCCGTCAGCGCGCGTCACGCGATAATTGGGGAGTCACGGGACGGCCGAGATGCCGGCAGCGCCGTCGCTCGCGGGGGTGGCGGTCGTCGACAGGGGAGCGAGTACCGCTCGCCACCGCCCGCCGACAACAGCGGCTTTGTGCGGGCGGTGCGCCTCTCTTGGTCGGCGACGTGGAGTGATCCACGCGCTGACAGATGCCGCACTACTCGGTGTAAGGAGCCAGGCAACGTAGACTGTTCAAGGGCAATAGGGAGACTGCTCAGGGAGATACAGCCGATATCGCCCGGGCCAACAAACCTCGAGACATCCAACCTGCGCATGAAGGGCACGCCGCGGCAGCGTGCGGCGATGAACCGAGCTCATTTGACACCAAACTACTTTGGAGCCAAAAGGCAAACAAAGCCGGAGCGCCTTCTTCCCAGCGTCTAACACCAGACCCACTGAAGGCGGGCGCTGGTCTGAGACGAGCGCTCTCGTTCTTCAGGTCGAGGCCCATCACACTCGCCGACCAAAACGAGACGACCTCATGGCGAGCTGACGGCTGAAACGAGCCCCCGTGTTTTCCTCGGCGCGACCATCAATAACACTCGGCCGCGCCGCCTTGGCAGGCCCCGCCGGCCGCCGTCCCTCACTCTCACCTCCATGTACGACTTGAGTGCGTGCCAGCGGCCGCGCAGGCCGTCCACCTTGCGGCGCAGGGCGTCGGCGCGCGCCACGTCTCGGCCGTGCAGGGAGTACACGAGCGTGTCGCCGCGCGAGATCAGCGTGGCCACGTCCGGCTGCAGCAGCGACACCTGCAGCTGCGCCGCCTGCCCGACACACGGCACACCTGTGGTACCCGCCGCCGCCGCACGGGCGGCGCCACCGACGCCAGCAGCCCAAAGTGCATAGCTGTGCTGGGGAGCACGCCACATCCAGTGCACGCTGTGCAAGGGCTCATGCACGCCTGATGAACGCAACACACCGCCGTGTACCACACAGCCCTCAGCAGCCCTCGCATGACAGCGTCACCAGTCACCAGGTGTTCACCAAGTGTGTCCCACACCTCCGTCATCGCCCCCGACCCGACTCACCTCGATCTCGCTGTGGCGGCGCGCGGCGACGCGCGGCTGCCGCTCCATGCCCGCCTCGACGGCGTCGATGCGCGCGATCACGGCGTCCAGTTCGGCCACGTAGGCGGGCACCTCGTCGCGCTCCGGCGTGCGGCGCCGGCCGGCCGGCGGACCCTCGGTGGCGTACTTGTTGGCGAACACGTCGCCCTCGGCCTGGCCCGGCGAGCGGCCCCGTTCGGCGCTCGCGCGGCGCGCCGGCGAGCCGCCACGCGCCGACATCGCGAACGAGTTGGCGATGACGGACGACGACTCCGGCGGCGTCGCGTCGAGGCTCTGGTACTCGCTTCGCTCGCGAGATGGCTTGGTTGGCGCATGCTTGGAGGCGTTGGACGTAGCACGCGACGATTCCTGTTCAACGGAACGAAAAAGCAAGTCAGTGCTGGACCTGAAAAGAGGCACCCGGTCGTTATCGGCATCTGAGTGTTTGTGAGGGACGCACGGCCCAGTCGCGTTCGAGTCGCGGACAATTAGTGCTCACGGCGGCCGGTGAGTGCGACACAGATCGGCGCGCGCCTGCCGCAGCCGGCACACGCGTCTGCAACCGGGGCGTACCTTGGCTCTCGCGGAATCGCGCACCTCCCTAAAGTCCCTGTCGCTGAGCGACGACGTCGAGAGGCGAAGCGAACCCTCCGACGACGAGGAGGACGAGTTCGAGTCGGAGTCGGAGTCGGAGTCGGAGTCGGAGCTGGTCACGATCTTGACGCTCCTGTCGCGCTCGAGCGCCTCGAGCGGGCCGCGCCGGTCGACGGCAGACACCAGGTCCGGCACGGGCGCGGCCCGGAGCGGCCGCGCGTCGCGCGTCATGAGGTGGTGCGCCGGGCCGCGCTCCGTCCGCTGCACCTCCGGCTCGGCCGCCGCCGCCGGCTCCGGCTGCGGCTCCGGCTGCGGCTGCGACTCGGCTGGCGGCCGCGGCCGCGGCTCCGGCGCCAGCGCCACGATGCGGCGCAGTGCGGCCATCTTGTCCTGCGCCGGCGGTGGCGACGCCGCCCAGTCGGCCGGCGGCGCGCGCTCCACACGCGTGGCCGTGAATACCTCGTCGTCAGGCGCGTCGGGCGCGCCGGGAGCATCGGGCGCGTCGGCGGCGATGGCGGGCAGGTGGCGCGCCAGCCGGCCGGCCGCGCCCAGACTGGCAGAGCGCGGCTTGGGCGGCACCGGCGGTGGCGTGCGTGACGTCGAGCGCGCCGGCGAGGCGGCCAGCTCGGCGCTGCCCAAGCAGTAGCGCTCCGGGTCCTGGGCGCTGGGCAGCGAGAGTCGGCCCACGGTCACCACGCTGTCCTCGGTCAGGGGCGGGAAGTCGCGCATCGGACTGTCGCGCGGGCTGAACGACGTCACCGAGTTGCGCGGGCTCCACGGGCTGGCGCTCTTGTAAGTGACCAGCTCGAAGTCGGCCGACAGCGGGCCGGGGCTGGTGCTGCCGCTGCGGCGCGCCAGAAACTCGTCGCTGCGCCGCCGGCTCTTGGCGCCAGTCAGCGAGCGCTGCGCGTCCGCCTGCGCCGCCATCTCGTACATGCGCTCGACGCTGCGGCGTCGCTTGCGCTCCAGCGTGCCCAGCAGCTGGCGGCTCTGCTCGGCCGTCTGCTCCAGGCCGCTGATGACGTCATCGAGCACCGACGACTGGCTCGACTGGCGGCTGAGCGAGGCCTGCGGCTGAGGAGCGTGCGGCGGCGCGCCGTCCGCCAGGCAGGCCGTCGGCTCGGTGGCGGCCGGCGCCGCGCCCCCCGTCACCAGCGGCGGCGCCACCTCCATGCTGATGTATGAGATGGTGCACTTGGTCTCTTCGAGCTCCACCAGCCGCCTGGGCGGCGTCGGGTAGGGCAGCGTGACCACCACGCTGACCTCGGCCGGCTCGGTCAGGTCACGCTGCTTCCGCTCGATGGTCTGCAGGAACTCGGTTTCGCGCGTGAACGGCGACAGACGCTCGCGCCGCCGCGCGGCCGCCCTCTGCAAACAACGACAACGGTTGGCTCCCGCTCGGGCGGCGGCCGTGTCGGCGGCGGAGTCGGCGGCGGTGTTGGGCGCAGGAGCGGACGGCCACAGGCGTTCCCGAGGGCGAGCAGACAGCGACAGGCTAGACCAGCGCCCCACAGACCACCAGCAGACGAAGGAAGCCACGCCCGGCCGGGGCTCCGACCGGCGCCGCCAGCGCTGGCCGGCTCCGGACGGGACGCGCACCGAGCGCCGGGTTCGGACCCGCCCCGGCGCTCGAGCCCGGCGCGCGGACCAGGCGCCGCCGACACCCTGACGGACCACACTGCCCCGGCCGCGCGCGTCGGACAAAGCCCCGCGACCGCGCGGACCGGACCAGGCTCGCTGGACGAGCGAGAGCGCCGCGGCCGCCGGCGCCCAGACAGGGAGAGAAAGCGGAAGTCCCGAGCACAGAGCGGACGGAGTGCGAGCGTGCCGACACCGGGTCTGGCCCGAGGAGCGGCGCTGGGTGAGACGGCGTGAGTGGGGCCGGGCCGGCTTGACGGGCCGCGGGGCGGGGGGAGGGGCGCACGTGCCAGCACGCTCGCGGCCCGCCCCCCGGACCGCCGCTGCAGCGCGGCCCAGCCCGTGCAGTTAGAGCCTCGGTTGCAGACGCGTGCGCGGCGGGCGCCGCATTGTGCGCGGGGTCGGCGCGTGACCGGAGACGGCATGCCGTTAGCGCGGCGCGCGCGGCCCGCTCCCATGCCGGCTCCGCGGGACATGCTGGCCCGTGTTACTGGCGCATGCCCGGCGGGTTATCGCAGCACAAACAGCGCGTGCGTCAGACCGTCCCACACACAATGGCCGCGGGACGATATGCAAGCGAAGCGACACAGAGCACATCACATCGGAACACGGAAACAACGGCTGATGTCAATAACATTTACGCATTTCCAAGAGGGCTGGGCCGGAGGGCCAACTGAACTATCCACCCTCCCCCATCATGTTAAAAAAAACTCTGAGCCGACTTCAAACAAGCTTATAACCGATAAACCGACCATGAAACACAAGCTAAATGGGTGCAGTTTGCCATAAAGTAGCTTGTCACGACCTGTTCCATTGACGTAAGATGCCTCGTAAATTGGCCACTTCCGCTGAAGAATGTTTTCCTAGTAACTCCAGATGCTTGAGAAATCCTGCGATGCGCTGCTAAGAGGTCGATAATCGCCGACACTCACAAACAGCTGCAACGGGGGTCATCCGAGTTGAGTCCCCCAAAGGCTATATTTTGGCTAATTATTGCCAGTGAACGCAGATAAGACCAATGCCCGCTTCTCATAAAATAGGCGATCAGCTCTTCTCTCCCCTCCCCCCCCCCTGCCCCTCTCCAGGTCTCGCGCCTCTGCTCAGAGGCTCTCCTGAATCGGCGCAATGTGCCTGCCGTCTTGCACCTTGTTTAAATAAGATTCCATTATCGGTTCTGGGCGCAAAAACCTCCCCAAAAAACTTAAGAATACACTCAAACTGGCAGACGCTGATAACAACCTTGCCCACAAAACGACCACAGCCAAACCAACGCCGATGGCGCCTGGCATTGCCTATAACGCACCGAAAGAGCCGCATGTCGCGTATTACCCGCGCCGCTCCGTCACACGACGCGGGAGCGCCGGGCCACGTCCGGCGGCACGGACGACCGCACGGGCCGCCCACGCGCTGCAATCGCACCGGAACCGAGCGTGCCCTGCAGGACCGTCCGGCCGCGGAGCAGGGGCTCGCACCGGACGGGGTTCGGATGATGACATCTCGGGCGGGAGCGGGCTGGGACTGAGCGTGCCCTACAGGACCGTCCGGCCGCGAAGCAGGGGCTCGCACCGGACGGGGTTCGGATGATGACATCTCGGGCGGGAGCGGGCTGGGACCGAGCGCACCCTGTAGACCGTACGGCCGCGGAGCAGGGGCTCGCACCGGACGGGGTTCGGATGATGACATCTCGGGCGGGAGCGGGCTGGGACCGAGCATAGCCTGGGGACCGTCCGGCCGCGGAGCAGGGGCTCGCGCCGGACGGGGTTCGGATGATGATATCTCGGGCGGGCGCGGGCTGGGACCGAGCGTGCCCTGCAGGACCGTCCGGCCGCGGAGCAGGGGCTCGCGCCGGACGGGGTTTGGGCGAAGACATCTCGGGCGGGAGCGGGCTGGGACCGAGCATAGCCTGGAGACCGTCCGGCCGCGGAGCAGGGACTCGCACCGGACGGGGTTTGGGCGATGACATCTCGAGTGGGAGCGGGCTGAGGCCGTCACGCCAGCGAACCCGCCCATGCGACCTTCAAACAGCACCCCCCAGCTTGGTCTGGTGCCTAACACGAATGGCTCTAGAAGTCAAATGCTCCGCGCCCTGGTCCCCCGTGTTGGCACACACCGGACAGCTGTGGCATTCTGCAACGTGGACACGGACCGGCCGACCCGTGTGCTCCAAAGGGCTGGATGGGTTTATAGTAGCGGAGTGCTGAAATGACCTCCACGGCGCTAATGACGCCGTAAACACGGATAAGATCACTGAGTGTTCCCCGAAGCTGTTCTGTGTGAAGTAAGGCGCCTGGCAACAACCACTCTCCACGCTAGCCCGGGGGGGCGGGGTGTCTCAGTTCGACCTGCAGCCGACAGAGCCGTCTGATCCTGTTGAGCTCGTGCGGCTCGGTCTCCAGTCGCATTGGGCACCTCATCACGTGCAGCGTCAATCAGCGTCACTGCTGAGCCCCAACCCCATAAATCAACCTACAATCGCTGTTTGTTCAGTGCGAATAAAAACATCGGTCCGAGCGGGGCGACCGTGTGACCTGCAGCGGCCGTTATGTGTTTTGCACGGTGCACACCGACGACGCCTCTCCCACGTGCAGCCCAACCGCAGTCACATGTCATCCATTTGCATCCGGGCGCTGCGGAGAAGAAATGCAGACCGTGACGATTACCGCGTGCGGATTGAGTTCGGTTTTGTGCACAGCACCGCCGATTCGGCCACAACTTTGCGAGGAAGTGCCCGGAACTAGCCGGCTGGGATAAGACACACGCTAAAGACGGTCACAGGCGGAAACTTTGCGTCCTCTCCAACACAGACTTTGATTTATAGTTTCTGTTTTAGTGATCTCCTAGTCTCTTCTTGCCCTGTGATTATGATACAGCACATAATGCCCTCCCGCCCCCGCCCCCCCCCCCCCAACGAAACACAAGAGAGGGAAAACTTCTTCCATGTCAGCAAACTTCGCTGAGTGTGACCTATTCGGCGTTTCGCGCCGCAATCACCGGTTGCGCTCACCCTACACCCGAGTCTGGCCTCGGGGGGGGGGGGGGGGGGCGATGCGTGCGTCCCAGGCACATGAATGAGGTACTTGGCTCACTTAAAACGCACATCAAGCCAGGACAAACCGGTCCCATTGGACCGACCAGGGCTCGCCTCGACGAGCGCTCAGCCACGGCAGTGTGACCGCGCCGCCCTGACCGGGTCCGACAGCGCAGCCCGACACATCGCGAGCGATCATCGGCGACATGCAGCGACAAGGCAAGCGGAGGAAGAGCGGCGAGGCCGTCACCGCAGCGCAGCGGCTTGTTTACCGAGCCCGCCCCGCACCCACACTCTGTCAGCGGCCGACGAGCGCCGGCAGCCGGCCACCGACGGGGACCGGGACCGGCGGGCGGCCGCACGGGCCGCGCACGCCGCCCTACATGGTGCGGGAGCTGTACAGGGCGCACGGCGACAGCGGCGAGTGTGCAGGCCAAGCGGGAGCGGGTCGAATCAGCGGACAATCAGCAGGCACAGCGGGCCAGGCAGGCAGCGGCACCCTCCCGGCCCAACGACGACCGCAGCGCCGACACCGCCGTCCGCCGGCTTCGGCCGGCCGGCCCGGCCCGGCCCGGGGCGGGCGCACCGGCCACTCAAAAGGTCCGACCAAGGCCGACCGGGCGCGCCACGGCCCGGCTGTCCGCTGACCTCACGAGGACGCCGGCCCGTCACTGCTGCACACTCGGAGGAGGCGGGGCGGAGCGTTCACCGCTCCGGGCGTCGCGCCGACGCCGCGGCCGGGCGGCGTCCCCTCGACACTGGCGCGACACTGGCGGCGTCTGCCGTCCGCGGCGCCCGCTGCTCGCAGGCCGGGACGGGGCGGGGCGCGCCGGTGGCCGCGTCAGCGTCGCGACGCTCAATTAGCAGCCGTCCGCGTGGCGCGCGCGCCGCTGCCGCGCGTCGGCCGGCCGCGGCCGCTGCACGACGCTGCACTGTCCAGCGGCGGCCGTGAGTCAGAGCACGGCAGGGCCAGTCGCAGACGGCGGAAGGGCGGCCCCTGCAGCCGGCACACTGCCGCCGGCCGCGGACGCCGCCCCGGCTGCCGTCCAATTACGCCGACCTCACCGGGCCCGCGAGGCGTAAATCACCGCACCGGACGGCCAAGGACGCATCGGGCATGGGCGGTCACGTACACGAATTATAAAAGTAATCACGCGCGGGCAGCGGGCCGCGACTGGGCGCGAAGGCCGGGCAAGAGGCTGAGAACGAGGCTACAAGGGGCCGGTGGAGAGCCCGCGGGGGAAGGGAAGAGGTGGGGGGGGAGGGGAGCGAGCGGGGGAGCGAAGCTGCGAGCTTTAAGGGCTAGGAGAGCGAAGAAAAGGATTCGAAAGAACCCTTCCTTAAATGAACATCGCATCGCATTGCACTAGATATGTCTATCCGGATTATGATTCCTGGCGACACATCCAGAGTGTCACAGTGGAACGGTGTTCAGGTCGGTGAAACCAATAATTAATCAAATAATTAAGTTACTTCAAAAAGGACGATCTCCTTCTGCTTCGCAACCTTCGACATCTCATCTTATGTTTTACTAGTGTGAAAATGATAAGACATTCGTGACAGCGGCGTCGGAAGAACAGTGCAGCATTGGTGCGCAGGCTGCATGTTCAAAGCACCTTTTCTCTGCCGAGCATAACCAGAAGCCTCTGTGGATGCAACATGAAGCCGAGTAGGTCGCTACTCCAGCGACCACCAGACTGCCCGACCAGCCGACAGCACACAAGGAAGCACCAAGCCCGCACCAGGCCGCCCTCCCGCGGGCGACGCCACAGACCGCAGACCAAGAGCCGCCCAGCCACACGCTCCACGACAAGCCCGGAGCCGACGCTGATCACAAAGCCCAGAGCCGGCTGGTCCCGGTGCGGGGCTGCTGATGACACCAGCCCCCGCTGACGTCACCGGCCGGAAAGCAGGGCGTGACGGCAGCCCCGGACATTTCAGCGGTGCTCCCAGAGACACGTCAACTTCAGGGCAAATACAACAACGGACCGCGCCGGCGCAATGGCATGGACTGTTTGTCTCTCAATCATAACAATGAACCACACATCGAAAACACTTATGCAAACAAGTCATGTGATGATTAGCCATATTCAGCAGCCTGCTCTACCGAGAGGAGTCGAGCATTGTTTACTCCCTTTTATAGATCTGAATGACATTTCGATCGCTGATGTAACCAAAAGCATGTCACGAATGCGATACATATGCCACTTCGCTAAATTTATCAGATCATGCCGCCGCGAGGTCACTTTTTAATTGGTTCTTAATAATACTATATTATTCCTTGACCAAAGTGGCGAACGCAGGACGTGGTGGTTGTCATGATTTTTGGAGCTGTTTTAGTACTGAGCCACCATGATGTGGCAGCTGCATGATGTCGACAAGCGGCGCGTTGGTGTAATCTCGGTGTTGTGCCATTCGTCACCTTCACTTCCAATTGGGTCTGTTAACATTTGTAGTTAAATGATGTCACCAGCCAAGTTTTGAATTCTTAACACTGCCCCACGCATGCGGATCTATGCCTCAGCCTATCCCTCGACCCTTTTTGGCCTATTTTTCCAGAACCATACCAGAATGTTTGAAATTTTGAAGAACGTTCCATTTTCAGAAAGTGTTTGCGATTTTGACCGCCCTCTTTTCGCGGCTATCCCAAATGCATGTCCAAGCAAAGCAAGTCCTGGGGCGAGTCCCAAAGAAAAAGCATGTATGGAGCGGGGGTCCGAGAGGAGAGGTGTTCTGGGGCGGGTCCCAAGAAAAGCATGTTATGGAGCGGGTCCGACGAGAGAGCGTGTTCTGGGGCAGGTCCCAGAGAAAAACATGTTATGGAGCGGGTCCGAAGAGAGAGAGAGATGAGAAAGAGCGTGTTCTGTCTCCAAAGGTAGTTTCGCCGTAGCGGTAGACGTTGGGGCGGTGTGAAGCATGTTCTGGGGCAGGTACAACCAATAAATTATCACAATATTGTCTCTTCCAGAACTGTCATTCTGAAGCTTTTGCTATTGCGCACCAAGAATGTAAAACGGGCGATTATATTTATGGGTAACATTAGTACCTGTTTGCTCGGCAATTTATCATCGATTTAGTTTTTTGGTCGTATGAGTTAGGGCGAAAAAACAACAGCAGGGATATGAGCTTGTCACTTAAAAAGCCTAATAACACCCTGTGCTATATCATGGTCCGGTACAGTAACAACCCGCAACGCTAATAACAGAGCCAGTTTACAGGTCACCCGTGAAGGGCGGTCGGCAGCATCTGCAAAAGCCCGGCCTGCATCATGATGTCGGAGCATGACAAGTGAGGCCGAACTCTCTCCAAGGCGGCCCTCATGACCCCGCACCAGCTGAGCCCAAAGTCAACACAACATTGGCTTGCCAGTGAGCGCCGGCAAAGTCTCAAAGTCCGAACCGTCCTTGCCGTGTCTCTAGAACGGAAAACCTCTTGTGAAGGCGGAGGCTGCGCACCATTTAATGTCCGGATAACGTCCGTTATCGGCAATCCATCAGACTAACAACCCGACTGTTATTCTGATGCCTTTGTTCACAACCTTATTTTTGTTGTCTTGTTGCTATGCTTATATCACGTGAATAATATCGCGTGTTGTGGCCTGCACACGTATTGTTGATGCCTCCATGACAGTACGTCCTAGGCCGAGACTGAAGGGTTCTCATTAGCAGGACCACTCGGGTAGTGGGGGTCAGACCCAAACAACTCGCCCCTGTTTGTTGTGAGCTCTGGTCTCAGAAGGTTCAGGTGCCCGCAATCAGATGTGGCTCTGATTTACGTAATAATGGTACATTGCAAGGAATGGATCACCTTTTCCAAGTAATTCTGGGCAAAGTAACTATCAGTTTACTTACATCCAGACCGATACCAAAACCAAACCCGATCCACAAAAAGCAACACGAGGCTGTCTCTGGCAAAAACTTTACAGTTTGCATTCAGGGTGTGTTCCTGTTACTGGTGTTACATCTAACGCAACGTCCCTCCGATTTGGATCTCAAGACTGAGCCGCTAAAAACACTACAAGCCGTCAACGGTTACACCAAGTAATCGCTTCAGTGCACCTAACTCTGTTCGGTCGGATCTCCTTCGCGATACCACAGCACCCTGATACAGTTTCACATGAACTCCGACTGCAACAGCCGCATAGGAACAAGGCCAATCCCCGCAAGAGTCAATGCCCGTGTTTCCCGTCCACACCCACACTGAGCGTAACCGGCAGGAATCGCGCAGCTGGCGCAAGTCGTGTCTGGCAGATTTCGCCACGGCTTCCGCACAGCTGCCAGATCTGGGCTGATTACTAACCGCGAAGTTAACTGCGAGATGGGCATGGCAGTGCATTGGTCCGTGCCATGACTGCCGGTATGGATCAGGTGCGTTCTTGTGGACGCGTTTCACTCTGTGTGTGGCGCGGCAGCGTATGATGGGTCCCACCACGACGTCCCATGGCCGGACCACTTCAGCGGCGGCGCAGGCCCGCGCGCCGCGCCGGGCCGGACCGGGCCGGGACCTACCTGCACCTTGTCGTGCACCTGCAGCCAGCGGGCGTTCAGCTCGGACATCATGGAGGAGACGCTCTGCTCGCACTGCGTCAGCGCCAGCTGGGCGGCCGTCTGGCGCGCCGCCGCCAGCTGAGACTGACGCTCCGGCAGCTGGCGCTCCAGCTCCTGAGACCGGCAGACGGCACACAGGTCACGGCACAGGTCACCGCACAGGTCAACGCACACGTCATGGCACAGGTCAAGGCACAGGTCACGCCACAGGTCGCGACGGCACTCTAAGAGACAGTAAATTGACACAAGGATTGACAGCACGGCAGCGATCGGAGCTGAGTGGACTGACGTTTGTCAACGAAAATACCTGCCACAAAATATAACGGTAGCACAGTGTGTACACACCACTTCATACATCCGTGGTTGCAAAACGCATCCGTCTAGTGTGGACAAACGGGGCGGAACGGAATGTTTACGTATGAAATCTTCCGTACTGCAAATCCACCAGTGTCCAATAACGTCATCTATTTGGCTCGTGTATAATAAATCCATTCGCCGTCCCACAAACAAATCTTCTGGCCCATGAGCCCGAGCCTGAGCCTGAGCTAGTGTATGGCACGTCAGCACCTCTTGAGACAGGGATATAACGCTTCTACGAGTCGCGGCTCTCTAAATGTTTAAGGTGTCTAGTCACTTCCTACAACGTTAAGTTGTGCAACTAAATCCATTTGCATAATTCAACTATCCCCGATGCGTGCACCGACGGCGAGAAAAGTACTTGACGACCACCAGATTCGGTTGCAGTCTCATAGGTGAATGTAACAAAGGTTCTCCGCCCATAACTCCAGGCATCTACAAGCAAGTCCAAACCTCTGGGCCCGAATGTGGACTTAAGCGACAGAGAGCAACGTAAAAGCAAAGTAAATGTTTGCTGACGCCTGAAGCGAATGCCAATTCCTTGGAACGTCACGAGCGTAAAACGAGCTTCGTACCTCAACTTTCTCATCACTTTCGGTGTCCTTGTCGGCATGTTGTAACCATTTTTCTAAGTCGTTCAAATCAGCCTCGAAATCGGACAGTTGGGCTTCACTCTCAGCTTTTTTCTCCTGAAAAGGACAGTTAATTTCAACATGTCATGTGGGCATCATGACAGGTTACACTGAGCACCGTCTCCTACGAGAGTCACACCACGAGCGGTCAAGGTGAAACGACACCTACTCGGCGGGTTACGGCGGCACGCGGCAAGCCGGCACTCAAATTCAAGACCGAGGTTAGGGAAGTGCAAATAACCAAATTAATCGCAGTGCGATTTGTACACAACGATCATCCCAAATACGATAATGAGCTTAGCCCAGATTAATGGCATGCCAATAGCATACTCATTAGGCCGTCGAATCTCGCGAAAATAAAGGCAATGTCCATTAATCACCACACACAAGAAAACAAGGGCAAACACGCCAGAAAGGCGATATCCACTAATCCAAACGTGCGCCAGACAACACTCGGCTTCGGAGGCGATGTCCATTCCGTTGTCACCTTCATACTGTGAGGCCGAAGCAGACGGAAGGGGGGGGGCGGGAAGGGGGGAGGGGGGTGGCGGTAGCTGACACAAGCAGCCCAGGCTGCGAACGGCAGGCGGAGGAGGGCGGAGGGGGGAGGGGGGGGTGACAACGACTGATACAGGCAGCCCAGCTGCGAGCGGCAGGCGAAGGAGGGGGGGGGGGGGTAATGGCGGCTGAAACAGGTAGCCCGCTGTGAGCAGCAGCGGTAAGGCGGGGGGGGGGGGCGACGGCGGGTGACACGAGTAGCCCGGCTGTGAGCAGCAGGAGGTGGGGGCGACGCTGGCTCACCTGCACGTGTCGGGTGCGGCTGGCCAGCCTGCCCTGCAGGCTCCTCCAGTCGGCGCGCACGCGGTCCAGGCGGCGACGCAGCTCCGAGCCGTCCGGCGCCGCCGCGTCAGGCGGCCCGAGCGCGGCCAGCGCCGCCTGTCGGCGCGTCGCCTCCTCGGCCAGCCGGCGGCAGGTGGCCGCCTCCTCGGGCCAGCGGCAGCGCTCGCCGCGCGCCTCGCAGGCCGCCAGCTCGTCGGCCGCCTCGGTCAGCCACTGCTCGAGCGGCGGCAGCCGCTGCGCCGCGCGCAGCCGCCACTCCAGGCCCGACTTGGCCTCCGGGATACGGCACCCGAGCTGCCGCCGGGAAGGGCGTCATCAGACAACGCGCCTGATAGACTCACGCCAACGCAACATCCATTTCACTCAACGGCACCACACAGGCCGGGGCGCGTTGACATTTCATCGAAACACGTCGGAGAGGGACGGAGCTGACCGTGACCTCTCCCTCAGCCACCGTCCCCCTGCCCCGCGGGCCGTTACCACTGGGCGGGAGCCGTCGGTCGGCCGCGCCCACGCCCCCTCGCTCGGCCGGCGGCCGTACCTGGTTGTACAGGGCCTTGAGCCGGTCCAGCCTGGCGGTGAGCTGCTCAGGCTGGTCCCAGGCGGCGTCTTCCACGGCCTTGCGACCGGTACGGATCACGTACTCCACCTCAGGCTTCAGCTCGCTCAGCAGCTGGTACAGGTGCTGCCGGTACAGTCACACCGCTCAGCCGGGAACGGTGCGGGGACGGCCCGTCACCAAACAACGCCGCCGCACGCGCTGGTCGCGCCCCTGCCGCTGCAGTCCACATCGGTGCAAAACTACCCACAGGTTCCAAGGTGAAGACAAGGCGAGATCACACCGACCATGACACCCGTGTCTGTATCAGAACGCTTATGTGACATCTTAGGGGGGGCCGATAAACCGATCCGTCTGCCTAATCCTACATCCTACACCGGTCCGCTACATCTTGCATCCTATATCCGCCCGCTACGTCCTACATCCTACGCCTGTCCGCTACATCCGCTCCAGTTCTGATGATGATTGGCGTTTTAGGGCGCGCCGACATCTGAGGTCCTTTTGCGCCCTCCGCTCCGGTTCGGCGGCAACTGAGCGGCAGTTCCCAGCACCGGCGTCCATCGGCGTCAGCCCTCACCAGGCAGCGGTCCATCTGCTGCTGAATCCGCTCCGGCTCGGCCGTGTCCTGCTCGGCGTCGGCCGCCTCACGCTCGACGCCAGCCAGTCGCTCCGCCACCGCGGTCAGTCGCGGCTCCAGGTCCTCGGGTCGCTGGCAGCGCGCGTACTCGCCGCGCACCTCGGCGTACGTGTCCTGCGGAGCACCGGCGTCCCCGCGTCACCGGCGCGCCTCACCCTCAGTCTCACGCCCGCGCCCACACGCTCAGCACCCCGACACGTGGGGATCGTGTAGACACCACTGAAGCCAAATCACGACTGGAATCACGCGCGCCTTCCTATAGGTATAACTAGCTTTGATGCACAGTTTAGCGACAGTGACAGAGTCGCTACGCAGCATTCCCAGATGGGAAGTGACACGGGTCAACAGGGGAGCTCCAGCGCCGGGGGCGGGGGGGCGGTGCGCTGCCGCCATACCTGGAGCACGTCCACCTGGTCCTGGAGGCGGGGGGCGGCCGGGGCGCGGCCGTCGGCCAGGTACTGCTGCGCCTGCTCGGCCAGCTGGCGCAGCCGCTCGGCCGTGCTGAAGTCGGCCGACAGCTCCTGCGGCGGTGCCACGGCCCGGTACAGCGGCGGACAGCACGCGGTGGGAGCACCCACCCGCAGCGGGTCGCGATCGATTGCGGGTCAGCAGGTGCGGCAGCGAGTTAGACCCAGGTGCAGTGCGGGAGACCTACAGCGGTCGGACCACGGAGAGCACGGTCGGAGGCGACAAAGCACGCTCAAGACCAGAACAGAGTGGCACCACAGCGGGTCCACGCCAGGTGAAGCAGAGGGTAGTAAAGCATCACGCACTCTGACCTCTAACGGGCAAAAAGAACGCCTCAAATGATAAAAAGGACATGAACGGAGCATGGACAACAGGACAATGATGGAAGGTACCACAGCTGGCCCACGGGATACGCAGGAGGAGGTACCCATACCTCAGCGGAAACATTCCGAACACATGGCAGGTGCCCCAGTGGGATTCATGTCAGGTAAAGGAAGAGGTGACTGAGTAAGACTCAGTACACCAGGAGGTGCCACAGTGAGCTGAGCAAGGCACACAGGTAGGTGGGGAAGACCAGATGCGGGGCAAGGTATGCATATCCTGGGGACACACAGCACTCGGGTTTCGATCCCCGCCAAATCACCGCCCCAACTCCAAAGAACGACAACCAGGATGCTTAGAACTTAAAACCAGGCTGCGTCCCAAAAGAAACATGGTGAGACGAAACTGAACACATTACTTTGGACAGCATGTAGGCGGACTAACCAGTTCTTGAGCCAGCCCTAAGAAGGGCACTGTCCAAATTGCGTGAGTTCAAACAATTTGTACAGGGCAGCAAAATGTTTGCGCCTAGTTTTTGGGGGGGCTGGGTCCTCGCAGACAGTGTCCTTTTTCGCGAGAGACTATCTCAAACCCAGGCGCAAACAGTTCGTTGCTGTGTCCATATTGTTTGAACTAACGCAAGTAGGCCACTGGATAAACCCTGGATATATTAGGTCACTGGATAGACCAGTACAAGGTTTCGTACACCACTCGGTGGAGGTCCAGCGCCCCGTCCCTTGCACTTCTTTCTCGACCTGACCGAGCCGAAAAGCGCTGTCCCTAGATTTGCAATACGAAGCCTTGGATTTCACAGTGAAGGCGAAAACCGTGGAAATATTCAGCGTGTGGAAAGGACATGGGATGGGGTACATCATGACAGCTGCAGGGCTGGTACATTATCTTTCACTGAAATTGTCACAATTTTATCATTTTCCCGCTGAAAGACGTCCGTTCTAGGGGTTTGGTAACCGTTCTCCACAGCTCCATCGTTGAAGACATATTTAAGCACATGTCATCCTCTCAACACCCAAAATCGATGTGGCAGGCCATTCACTCCCCAGACTTCCAATGAATGGTCGATGAGCAGCGTGGGTCTGAACAGCTTGGTCTTCAACAAGGACGGCGATCGTGTGACAGCATGCTGTCTAAAAATATCCGTAGCAGCCATGCTTTTGAACAGCACACGACAGCCAACAAAAAATTATCTCACGAAGCAAAAACAAAATATCGTACAAAATTAGTTCCAAACAACATAACTTCACCGGAAGCGCAAATAATCGTACCAAATCGGTCATATCACACTTAATGGAAGGCTTTCTTTTGCATGAAAATGTACGTTTCTTAAAAGGTGCTGCCTTAAAACTAACATTCCACCATATGTACATAGATCTCTTGATTAAGCCCATACACCATCAAGCAACCAACAGCGACAACAAAAGCCTCAGCATCCACTAACAAGCTGCTTATTTAAAGCGAAATGTCTATGTCCACACAAACGCCCAACCAGGGGACACACACGCACACCCACACCCACAGGGGCCCCCGAAGCGTGTCCGGGCGGCGACGGTGACCGTGGGCGTGTGTGCGCGCGTGAGGGAGGGTGCCGGGCGCGCCGGTACCTCGGCCTGGTCGTCCGGCAGCGGGCCGGCCGGGCAGGCGGCCAGCAGGCGGCGCGTGCCCGCCAGCCAGTCCAGCGTCTCCGAGAGCTGCAGCTCGTGCCGCTGGGCGGCGCCCAGGTCGGCGGCCAGCGCCGTGCGCCGCTCGGCCGCCTGTCGACACGCCAGAAGCGGCGACGCCGCTCAGCCGGGCGCGGCCAGAGCCCCGCCGCCGGCCGCGCGGAGGCCGACAGACAGAGCGGAGGCGCGGAGACGGCGCCGGGTGGACGGCACGGGGGTTGGGGGATCAGGACAGCAGGGCTGTAGTGGCCAGACGGTGCCAGGGAGGGAGAACGGCTCGCGAGGAAGAAGGCTGGAGCAACACGGGATGAGGGGACAGGCGGGCAAGCTGGAGGGGAACAGGAGATCGGAGCTGAAACGGAGAGGAGTGTAGGAAGGCGATAGAGAAGAGCAGCAGAGAGCTAGCGCGACACTACGGTCCGCGAGAACGCGGAGAAATAAGCTGGTTAATCGACTCTACGGAATGCACCATGTACAAGAGAAAGAAATGCCGGCTTAGAGAACTAACAGATATCTCCTGCCTTCATCAGTCGAGTGTTAGTAGCAGGCCAGGGCCTGTGCAAGTGTGGTGGGGCGTGCGCAGTGCGATGCGTCTGTGACAGCTTCAGCCAGGCATGATATTCTGACAGTGGCAGTATTATCGCTCCCACGGCACCATCTTCTGCAGGGTAAAATATGGCGTCAAAAATATCAAACCATAAAATTTTAAGCATGGGGAAAGATGTGCTGCACAATATGAAACCAGTTTTAGCATGGAGTCAATAGGATTCAAGTGCGTCCACGATCCATGTTTATCTAAAAAAAAAATGCAACTTCGATGATACATGCAGTCCATGGGATTTGAGGGTTCGTCATTTCATTGAACTGTTGGAACGTTGTCATCAATGCTTGGTCGGAATGTGCAGACGAAGGTGCATCTTGTTGGCACATGGTATCTTTAAATCGTGTATACCACACGACACCTACAGACTTGTGTGGTCACCAGCACGAACTGAGCCGCATCCAGGTCTGAAGCTGACACGACTGTTGTGGAAGGGCGAAACGGGAGGTACGTCAAGCACTTAGTTGTGTCGGATTCCGCCGACACCAAACATGGGACGAATGGTCCCCTTCCCTTTAGCAGGACATTGCCCTCGAAAATTTCAAAATGTTAACGGGGAAATTCGGCAGGGACGTGTCCCTTCGAACTGCAACTGCCTGCCAGCGGACTCGTTCATTTCAAAATGTTAACGGGGAAATTCGGCAGGGACGTGTCCCTTCGAACTGCAACTGCCTGCCAGCGGACTCGTTCAGAGGGCTCGGAGCCGGCAGCCGAACACAGCCGAGTGTGGGCACCTGAGCGGTAGCGCGCGTTGGGGAGCATGCGCGTGGCAGCATGCGTGTACGTGGTTTGGACGCGCGTGTCGAGCCTAACCAGGACTAAGCGCCACGGCATATGTCTCGCAAAAATGCACAAAGCTAAACCAAAACGCGCTTCTGTGAGCCACTTTCAAACGCATTAGCCGTCCCACCAGCGGCCCAGTGCCAAACGAAGCCCAAGCTGGCCCTACAGCGCAGGCCGCGAGCCGGGTTAGTCACAGGCGACTGAAGCGGCAGTGAGCCCCATGCGGCGGCGGCGGTCACTGACCGTGTCGCTGTAGCGTCGCCACCGGTCCACGATGTGGTCGCGGTCCGCGCGCACCTCGTCGCAGAGCACGCCGGCGCTCACCAGCTGCTCGGCCAGCGCCCGCAGCTGGGGGATCCGCTCGGCCGGGTGGTTGTGGATGTACGCCTCCAGCTCCTGTCGCAGCGGCGCCGCCGTCACACTCACGCACACACTGGACGGCGGGCCGACGCCGACACGGCACGCCGGCGCCCGGAGGGCAGCCGCCGGCCCGCCCGACCGTCTCGCGGCGTGTTCGTGCCGACCCGCCGCAGTGAGCACCAGCGTCCGGCGCCCTCAGCGATGGGCGACAGGGCGCTCCATACTCCAGACCGCACAGTTCGCTCAGCCGGCACGGCGCGAGCGTCGCCACCGGCCGTGAGACCAGTGACCCCTGTCAGAGACGGTCGCCGTCGGCCCCGGGGACGGGGCGCGCGGGCGGGCGGGCCTTACGTCCAGCTCGGCGCTGATCTCCTCGGCGTCAGCCGCCTGCTGCGGCGAGCGCGCCAGCTTCTTCTCCAGTCGGTCCAGCCAGCTGTTCTCGGCGAACGTCAGCTCTGCGGCAGACGCGTCGCATGCAGTGCTGCCATCCGACGGCGACGCGCGCAACTACTCCGGTCAGGCGGCGGGCGGTAACGGACGCGGTGCGGCAGGCAGGCCAACAGGAGCTACTCAAAGCAGAAATGGCGGGTCGCCGGACGGATCATCGCAGGTTCGAACCGTGGACCGCAGCAGCCAATCGCTTTAGGCCTAACTTGCTGGAGTTCAACGGTCATCGCATTCACTCCAGTGTACCATGCACGAGCAAGCAACGTGATTTTCGTATTGCTATCATTCTTCGCCAGGAGGCGCGGCAGCTGAGACGATAACCGACACACCGAGAGAGAACGTGCAAAAAACAAACACATCTAGCGTTCCAGAACGCTTCAGTACACTATCAATCACAGCGACCGCTAAGTATATCACCAGTGCGTGAGACGGGAACAGCTAATCACAACATCCATAGAATAAGGGCCGCCAGACGCCGCTGGCGACCAGCCCACTCACTCTTAAATTGGTCATAGTTGGCGACGGCTTGTTGGCAGGCGTCGGCGCGCGCCGCCAGCGTGGCGGTCAGCTGCTGCCAGCGGCCACAGCTGGCGGGCGCCTCCTGACGGCCCGCCGCCGCCTGGCACGCACCGGGTCACAGCGGTCGACACAGGGGCGGCAGACGGGGGGCGCGGCAGCGACGGACCGCCCTCGGTCCGTTGGGGGACACAGGCGGACAACGCACCGGCGGCGATCGGGGCGAGCGCCCACACACTGCCACTGCTCACAACAGCTACGAGCAGCTCTCAACGTGTGGTCACCTTTGAATACGACCTCTATGAGGTCAGCAGCGTGATAGCCGATAGCACGCAAAACACGCTTCATTACTGTCAAAGACCAGCAGCAATCACAGCGTACACCACCTGTAATGACACATACTGTACAGCGCGCGAGGCAATAACGCACACATTACATGACACAGCGCGCCTCCTGTCCCATTCATCGCCCGCGCTCGGCGAGAGCGCCGGGCCGCCGGGCCCCACACCCTTGGCACCGTTACTGACCGTGCCGAATCAGCAGTTGGTGGCGAGGTTCTCCCTCCTGCAGCCGCGCCGCCAGCTTGGCCAGCAGCTGCTGCCGGTCGTGCAGCTGGCCGAGCGTGGTGACGGCCGCGTCCGACGGCAGCTGCTGTTCCACCTCCGTCACCAGTTCGGCCAGCTGCCGCTCCTCCTCCTCCACCTGGCCGGCGCAGACGGCGGCTGGTGACGGCTCCTCGGCGGCCAATGGCACAGGCGGTCCGCCCCATCGCCAGGCCCAGCTGGCACCCTTCACGCTGTCACCGCGTCCAGTATTTCGTGCCGACACCTCTGTCTGTCTCCTGTCTCATCTTTCCCCGCATCCAAGTGTTCCCTCCCCCTCCCCCTTCCCCACCTACTGGTCTCTGTGCGCTCACGCCAGAACCAGCAGAGCACTGCGTCCCGTTTGCCGACATCAGAGCACAAAGCGCATGACTGCAATTGCGAGGTTTACTGCAGGCCCTTGCCAGAGCCGCACCCCCCACCTGCCAGCGGCCGGTCAGCCGGGACTGCCGACTCACCTGGCGGCTGGCGTCCAGGGCCTGCTGGATGCGCTGGCCGCGCTGCTTGGCGCGCCGGTCGGCCTCCTCCAGGCAGTCGGTGAGCCGGCGGCCGCGGTCGGTCAGCTGCTGGCGGAGCGCCGGCTCGGCCGAGCCGCGCAGCCGCTCGCCCGTGCGGCACACGCTCTCCAGGGTGGGCCGCAGCGTGCAGATGTCCCGCAGCAGACCCTGGCCGGCGGCGGGGCGCAGCGCTACACTCCGACTCTCGCAGCACCCACGCGGGGTCACACGGCACGCCAGCCGGCACACGGGTGCACGAGAGGTGACCCCGAGCGGTGGTCGGTGCTAAACCCGACTCGCAAAACAGACGATTGGAGACTAGTCCATGGTGCATCAGCTCCACGGTGCACCGTCCGTCAGCACTGCACTGCGCTGCACTGCACTGCACTGCACTGCACTGCTGCACTGCACTGCATGCACTGCATGCTGCACTGCACTGCACTGCACTGCACTGCACCGCACTGCCTGTCCTGTCCTGCCTGCCCTGCCCTGCCCTGCCCTGCCTGCCCTGTCCTGTCCTGTCCTGCCCTGCCCTGCCCTGCCCTGCCCTGCCCTGCCTGCCCGCCCTGCCCTGCCTGCCCTGCCCTGCCTGTCCTGTCCTGTCCTGTCCTGTCCTGTCCTGTCCTGTCCTGTCCTGTCCTGTCCTGTCCTGTCCTGTCCTGTCCTGTCCTGTCCTGTCCTGTCCTGTACTGTACTGTACTGTGCTGTACTGTACTGTACTGTACTGTACTGTACCGTACTGTGCTGTGCTGTAATGTACTGTACTGTTCTACTCTGTATACTGTTCTGTACTGTATTGTACTGCACTGTATTGTACGTACTGTACCGTAGTGTACTGTACTGTACTGTAGTGTACTGTACTGTACTGTGGTGTACTGTACTGTAGTGTACTGTAATGTACTGTACTCCATTGTCTGTACTGTATAGTACAATACAGGCAGCACTGCAACTGTTGTGCTGTCTTGCAGCACAATGACAGGTCGCGCTGCTGACTGGGCGAGGCGCGGAGACCGACCTGTGCCAGCGTCGGCGGCCTACCCCGCGCCGGCCTGCTCGACACTCACGTCACTCTGCTCCAGCTGGGCGGTCAGCGCCGGCGCGTCGCCCTCGCCACCGGCT